GAGTGTTAGTTCCAAAAGGCAGCTGTTAGAATATTCTCATCCAATCCAAGTGGCTTAAATGACTATGGTCTATGTCTGCACTGAGAGTAATCCCTCCTAGAGAGAACACTGAAAACTTAACATCAATAATTCCATATCTTAATTCCCAACAAGTCTCTCAAATAACCTATGTTCTAACCCAGACATGTCAAACTTGCGACGTCACGTGATGTCGCGTGACGTATCGGGACTGTTTTGCCATTGCCGGCAATGGGGTGGGCATGGCTTCCGCATGATGCGCCCGGCCCGTGGGCTGGCAGTTTGACACCCCTTTTCTAACCTGATAGCCATTTTTTACAAAAAAGATCTAACGTGCATACATGCATACATGCCTATGTAAATATACTGCATATAGATTGTCCTCAGGTTATGACAGCAATTTACACCTGGTTTAGTACTAATATTTAACCTGAGATAATATACCATTTCGTGTTTTTAATTGTTGCCCTTTATATATTTAACTTTTTAAAAAGAGATCACTTACATAATAATCTCTTTCTTTGTGTTTTCCAGAGACAAATATTCAACCCACTTTTTCTGATCCTGGTAGGACTTTGACTCTTCAACAATTTTCTGAAACATTGTTCTCTTTCTTTAAAAAAAAAACAGATTGCAGGCAGCAAACAAATAAGAAAAATTAATCCCTTTTTGTAGCTTGAGTATCATCAAAATTCAGGGTAATTTCTTAGTAACCCAACAGTATAAGCACAAGTCCTAGATAGGAAAGGAATTCACACAATCCAGGAAGAGACTGTCCTCTTGGACCCACTTCATTTTAATATAGACTCAACAACAACACTCCCTGCATTACCTATTATAACTCAAACAAAAACCTCCTTGTATATATAGATTGTCCATTGGATTAGCCCTAATACTGAAAGTGTAAAGCAGAATTTGCTGAAATATAAGCAACTTCCTGTTCTTTAATGCTTAAGCTGCATACATATCTGAATACACCCTTGAATGTTTTACAGACCCAAAGACAACAAGAAATCAGGGTCTTCGTTAATATTTACAAGCTAATGCTATTCTGGGAGAATAAACCAATTCCAACTGTAGCTTGACTTTCCCCAGCACAATGAAGCTATAGGCTCTACTGTATGTAGAAAACACCACAATGTGATGTAGTGATTAAGGTATTGGATTAAGATCAGAGAAGTATCCTTGGCCATGAAAGCTAACTGGGTGACTTTTAGCCAGTCACTTTCTCAGCCTTACCCAAAGCACAGGAGACAGAGGGGATAAACAAAAAGACAATCCACATGAAATCTGCCATTTGAGTGCCTAGTGCAGGGGAAGGTAACCTTGGCTCTTTTATGACTTGTGGACTTCAACTCCCAGAATTCCTGAGTCAGGAATATACTGACTCAGGAATTCTGGGAGTTGAAGTCCACGAGTCATAAAAGAGCCAAGGTTGCCTACCCCCAACCTAGTGGAAAGGAAGGTAACAATGGGTAAATTCAACAGCAATCTAACACTGTGGGGCTTATTTCCTTCTCCAAATTATACTCCAGATCCTCTCACTCCTGTCTGTGTTTTATTGAGCAGAACCTAACTAGCGCAGATCAAAAAAATTTAAATTACTGAAACCACTTTACTTTTTTTTTCTATTTGTGTTGTTTTATTCAAAATGTAGCAATATTCTGAAGAACTGTGTCAACATTTGGGTTCTCTGTAGCAATTAATAAATGATTAACTTACTTGAAATACAGTGCTAAATCGGTGGCGATAATGGCAATATCCATTAAGTGATTTACATGTTCATACTGCCTCCTGTTGAGATTCTGGTAAATGTTCAGGGACTAAAGGGGAGAAATACATAAATCAGAGTGGAAGATTGATCCTGCCAGGCATCATGTTGGGTACCTCTAACTTTTCCTAATGGTATCTTTCTTCAACATCTAGTTATCAGGCGCAAAAGACGAAGGCTCCATGTTAAGTTCCGATTGAAATGATGTATTGCTTATTTCTATGCAACAGGAATCTAATCAACTAATAGCACTCTTTTGGCACTAGATAAGAGTTAACAGAATCCAAGAGGGGTTGGACTTAGATCATTTGTGGGTACTAATGACCTTAGACTAATTCCTCTTTTGACTCCATCTCCTGGCTCAGTATAGATTTTCCTGCCTGAGCAGGGGATTGGACTAGTTTAGAAGACCTCCAAGGTCCCTTCCAACTCTGTTATTCTATTCTATTCTATTCTATTCTATTCTATTCTATTCTATTCTATTCTATTCTATTCTATTCTATTGTTATATCTCACACCTCATAATGGGTTTCTGCTGATGGTTTTCCAGAAGCCAATGAAAAATTTTCCAGAAGCCAGTGGGAAGTGATCAGATTAGTGCTGAACTGATTTTACCTGGCTTGTGTTCAATGACCTCTATTCTGCTGTCTGCTAAGATATTAAAAAAATGCAGCTAAATGCCTTTATCATTTGGAAAGAACATAAAGAAGAACAAGGTGGATTATATTCTGATACCCAACTTTCCTCTCCCAATTTCCCCAATTTCTGTTTTTTCACCAATTGATCTTAACTCTGTAACTATTGAGCAGGAAGTTTTTACTGGTGTTTTATTCAGATAAATTATTTCTTAATTGGGTAGGTATGTTTTTGGTATTCTCCAAATGTTTTGCAGACTTCATTTTGAAGTGTGCTGATGCCTTTTATTCCTCAGGACATTTCCACCAGTTTGCCATCAGTTTCAGTCCCATCTCCTATCTCAGTGATGGCGAACCTTTTAGAGACTGAGTGCCCAAACTGCAACCCAAAACCCACTTATGTATTGTCAGGTGCCGGGTGGGCGTGGCCCATTGGGTGGGTGTGGCCCATTGGGTGAGTGTGGCTGCGGTGGTAACAGCAGACTGGGTGGGACTAAAAAATTCAATCAATCAATTCCAACTTTGCAAAATCTTTTTTTTCCCGCGAGAAGTTAAAATTGACTGATTGATTGAACCTTTTTTTTTGTACAGGGCGGCGGAGGCCTAAAGCAAAAAGGTTTTATAAAACCTAGGCCTAGGACTGGGGTGATGGCACGCATGCCCACAGAGAGGGCTCTGAGTGCCGCCTCTGGCACCCGTGCCATAGGTTCGCCACCACTGTCCTATCTCAAGGTAATTTTCTTCAGTTTTATCAGCTTAAATGCTGCTTTCAAAGTGGTCCTTGCATAGAAATGCCCTCATTTTTAATTTCAATACTGACAATCTAAATTTTGAAATAGAGTGCTCTAGCATAAATTCCCAATTAACTGGCTTAAACAATCAATTAATGTTAAGAGTGTGTGTATGCCTTGAACCATCTGATGAATGATTAATTGAATCTAAGTAGTTGTTGAATTGTTAATGCGTCAATTTTATTTTCTACTGACTGTATATTAACATGGAAGTTAAATGCAATCCCAAGGCAGGCTATGCTATTTGAGAGCTCAGGAACTGACTTTTATAAAATTAGTATCTGAGAAGGAAAAAGGGTTAATAGATGCATTGCGACCTCTAGTTTTAAGACAATTATTAATCCCAATCAAAATTTGAGTTGTGTCTATTACCAACCACAGTTTCAAAAAACCAAATATGGATCCACCAAATTACTTCTGCAGATTAAAATATTGGTCACCCACCTCTTCTGAGAGCAGAAATTTGCCAAATTCCAAATGATGTCTCTCTAGAATGGATGAGCCATGAAGTTTTGCTAAGGGATTTTGAGATCTGTTAGCAAACATGAGGGAAGATTAAAGAATAGAATAATTATGAGAATGTCAAATACTTCTTTATTTCTATCCTCAAGCTTGTAAACGATTGCTTTGGAACTGGAAGTGCCAAGAACAACAACCAGACATTGCTCTAATCTTTGTTGACTAAAGCTCTTACTAAAAAGTTGATTTTCTTGACTTGCGATATATCACTATAACTATTTTATAATACATTTTGTTATGCTTCATTGATTCCAAGGCAGTTTAAAATAAAAAACATGCAAAAAACCCCACAAAATTGACACGATAAGAATATCATCTGTAAAATTCTAAGCAGCAAAACCAGCAGGCAGATATTTAAATGTGAATATACTTTAGAAGTATATACTTCACCACTGCACAGCTAAATATCTACTGCATCATTTCTTTTTCTGTATAATTCCTTATTCAAGGAATGATAAATTAATGTGAGGGTGGCTTCTATTTTTAAAAATGGTAGTTTTTGAAATTTTATTTATGGAGGCTATAAGTAAGCCATCAGAAATAAGAGCAATGTAGATCTGCAAAATCTGAAGACCTCAAAAAGATTTAGGAAACCCTTTAATGCCCTCTAGTGATCCTCTGGATTATTGCATCCCACATCTGGTAGCTCAGGGGTCTTCAAACCTGGCCCTTTTATGACTTGTGGACTTCAACTCCCAGAATTCCTCAGCCAGCGTGCCTGGCTGAGGAATTCTGGGAGTTGAAGTCCACAAGTCATAAAAGGGCCAAGTTTGAAGACCCCTGTGGTAGCTGTTGGCAACATGTGCCCAGAGGGTTTAAGGCAGGGGTTTTCAAACTTGGCTGGCTGAGGAATTCTGGGAGTTGAAGTCCACAAGTCTTAAAGTTGCCAAGTTTGAAGACCCCTGGTTTAAGGTATCTGGAACATCTGCATCAGAAGATTTCTGCCTCTTCTTTTAAGTTGAAAGCCAGCAGACCACCAAGCAAAACACTGTTCACCCCATCCTCCCTCAGCACCACCTCTGTTTCCCAGAATGCCTTTCAGAAAATAAAAATATTCACTGAATGAGACCCTGTATTGTAAGCTGCCTAGTGATCTCAAGGAAAAGTAAAGTGAGAATGATTTCAGATACTCCTTTGCTACAAAGATAAGTCCACCATGGAAGAGACTACACCTTGGCTTTATCATTGTGCGTACTTTTACTGGTATTGGGGTGGGGAGAATTGTTAATGAATGGATAGCTCTGTCATCACCACACGGAGTTTTGCTTTTTGAGAATTTATAATGGTTGGAGTTGCCTTTGGAGAAGGTGAAGAGCTAAAATACTTCCTGAAGAGCTGGGTGCTATTTCTGCACAGTTGAAAACCTTGTGGATACGCAAGAGGAAAACCAAACGTTTCTGAAATGGTTAACTAGTTTGGAGGAAAGAAGGTAGGAATCTATTGTTTGCAATTTCTTAAGTTCTGTCTGTTTGGGATCATTAAAACCAACTGGTGGAAATCCTTTGAACTGTCACTGAGAAGAAGCACAAGAGTCTCCATCAATGTGTAAGGGGACACAGATAGTTTTTCCTATATGCACAAAGAATCATTTCACTTTTTTTGTGGGGGGGCAGCCTGTAGAATTTAATATGAAATCTATTCTGAATCAACAGATCCCAATATAAATTGCATTGATAATACAAGAAGAGGACCTACTTCATCTGATAAAGATTGTTGGTTCCTCGGTGATCAATATCATGACACAAAGCTGCAGTGACCATGGCAAAGGCTTCAAGATCAGTGTAGTACTGCTTCAGTTTACCTGTCTATACAAAGAAAGTTAAAAAAAAAACCCTGTTTTTTTTAAATCCATCAGATTTAGCTTTAATTTTGTTAGAGATTTTTTTTTTAAAAAAAAAAACACCATACAGGCTGAATTTCCATTGCTACTCATATCACAAGCTATCTTAGTTTTTGCATTAAAATTGTATGAAATTTTCATTCAAAAATCTTTAAAAAAACTGCGTATTTGTGGCCATCATCTGTAACCCACAAAGCCCTTTCCAGAATCAGTGGAACTAAAAATTTTGGCCTTTTTTTTGCTTTTTTTTTTTTTTTTTTGTAACTGAGTATGTTTTTAGAATCAGAAGCCTTGAGGATGCTAAAGTAACTCATCTCAACATTCCTAAATCTGCATCCAAATGAAGAGAATTTCTACCTAAGTGCATTAAATATTACGGACTGGCGATTTTTGTGTAAAGTACTTTATCTCCTAATTTCTTGATAAATGATGGAATATGTGAATCTGGGCTCATAAGCAAGAATGAAGTTGGAAAAACCTCAGCTAAAAATTGTTGTAGATACTTAAACTAAGAATTCTGAAGTGGGTGAGAGTTATATAATGTCATTGTTTTAAGGGCAAATGCAATTATATGCTAGTAAATAGTAGAAGTTATAGCTGGGAATGATGGTTGCTCTAAACTGGAACCATTTCCATAGAGCAGAATTCCCCAACCTTTGGGGCACCAGAGACCGGTTCCGTGGAGAGAGGTTTTTCCGCGGACCGGAGTGGGCGTGGTTTTGTGTGCTGCCTGCATCCCGCGGATGGGGCTTTGATTGTTTGTGCGGACCGGTTGCTGGTATGCTGCGGCCCGGTATCGGTCCACGGACTGGGGGTTGGGGACCCCTGATATAGAGGGCTCATTAAAGACGTACCATAAGAAGGGTGAACATAGTCTGTGCAACATTGAAGCCATGACGCCAGTTGTGATAAGTAATCTTTCGATAACCTTTACTGACTGAAAAAACAAACCTCACCAGGACCTGTAAAAATAAAAACAGTTAATCAGTGCAAAACTGCACAATTTTATGTGCAACAAGTTTCTCAAAAGGAGGCAAGAAACTCCACCCCCCACCCCCCAAAAAAGTTTCTTATCCAATTTTCAGTATTCAGATGTTCAGGAGAAAAATAGTACAGGGAGTCCTTGACTTACAACAGTTCATTTAGTGACCATTCGAACTTTTAAAGGCACTTATGACCATTTTTCACACTGATGACCGTTTCAGCATCCCCAGGGTCACTTGATTTACTTTCGGACGCTTGGCCACTGGTTCATATTTATGATAGTTGTAGAGTCCTGGGGTCATGTCATCATCTTTTGCAACCTTCTAACAAACAAAGTCAATGGGGGAAGCTAGATTCACTTAACAACTGTGTTACTAATTTAACAACTGCAGTGATTCACTTAACAAATGTGGCAAGAAAAGTCGTAAAATGGGGCAAAACTTGCTTAATAAATTTTCACTTAGCAACATAAATTTGGGCCTCAGTTGTCATCGTAAGTTGAAGACTATCTATTTTTTCCTTAGTAACCGCTTAATTTATTTTATTCATTAATTTGGATCACTGATACCTGAAGTGTTAACTTAAAATTTCGAAGCAGTTTATAATTTAAATAAAATGCATTAGGGCAAGGGTCTGCAACCTTGACAATTTTACTGGGAACCCAGTAAGTTTCAAAACTGTAGAAATTTTAGAAGATGTTAGCCTGGCCTCTGGAAATGGCTATCTGGGGAGTCCCAACTTAGATTTAGTAGTTATTTCTGCTACTAACTAATTTCTAGACTGATGAAGATCCAAAAATGATTGCGATGATCCTCCTGCAGATTAGATGATGCCATGGCTGGAAGCTTACAAAAACAAGTATTGATTGATTGGCAATTCCCTGTCCTCCACTGTTGGTCAAAAAGGGCTAGCCAACACTGATTGGCTGACAGATTCTTTGCATGTAAACATGCTGTGTTCTCATGGCATCTTGGCTTTCAAAAATGGAAGGAGGAGAACAACTGAAGCATTACTGAAGAACCTATAAATTACAATTAGAGATTTTGTGTACAAAAAGTCTGGCCAGCTGGAATCTCCCATGGGTTCTGATTCTACAGAGAAATACAATAATCACCCAAGGAGCAGGATATTTCAAATCTACATGCAATTTTACGATGTTCCTACTATCCTTCAGATAATTTACATTCAATATGTATATCCAATGGTGGAATTCAGCCGGTTTGCACCACTTCGGCAGAATCGGTAGCTAATTTTTTGTTGCCCAGGCCCAGAATGGACTTCCGGAAGCGGCATCCACACAGAGAACCAGTTGTTCACATATTTGAATCCCACCACTGTGTATATCTGATTTCCTGTTTCCTTTCTATACAGTTTTTTGGCTTTTGCTTTATTTTGTATCACCTTGATGGAATGGCAAAGGTGTTGGCTTATGACTTGGGAGACCCAGGTTTAATTCTACTTTCAGATAGGGAAGCTCACAAGATGACATTGGGATAAGTAACTACCTCTCAGCCCAATCTATTCCCTAGAGTTGTCGGAAAAATTGGAGGAGAAAAGCTATTAATTCTGCTTTGAACTACTAAAGGAAAGGTGGGATATAATGCAAGCAGACAAAACGTTTTTAAAAAGACAACCCATCTGTAGAAAGTTCAAAATGCCACTGTCCACTTAACAGTGGACAGGTGCAAAGCCACAGTGTGCTCATTATTCATTTTTTAAAATTTCTTCATATTTGAGGAAGGATCTGCAAAAAAATGTTACCATTTACCTCTTGTGGAATTTGGAATTTTTTCACCACTCCAAGTTCATAATACATTTGAATGCCACATTTTACAAGATCAAGTTCAGTCCATTCGAAATCAGAAAAGTGAAAGGCGTAGATTTCACATTCTTCAGGATCTGGAAGCACTTCTTTCTGGGGGGGGGGAGGGAAAAAAAGAAAAGCATTTCTAGTTTAGATTCCAGAGTGGAAGCAGCAAGCTTTGCTCTCTGAATTGCCATAAAAATAGTGACTATGCTTGCATCTAATGCTACTTCATGAATTAGCAAACAATGCATAAGTTGAATACACAAAACCAAACTTTATTTAAAGAGACTTCTGTTCAATTCCTGTCCTGCAGAATAGCTTTGCCAGCATTTAATTTTACTTTCCCAAGATCTTGATTTGCTAATGTTTGGAAAAATGGAACTGTAGTTTATGTAAGTTCTGGTTAATTAAGCAAACCATTTACAGATCCATTACCTGTAGTTATCTTTTTTTGCAATTGATCAGAGCTTGTGATCATCTACAACCTCACAGTTATATGGTCAGATAGGAAGACTACTCACAGCCAGTTTTTTGGTCTGGATTCTTGGTGGCATTTGTGTTGCGTTTAAATAACTGTCTTGCCTGTTTCTGGGTACCCTGGTTTCCTGCCATAATACCTCCTAGTGCAGTGGTGGCGAACCTATGCCATGGGTGCCAGAGGCGGCATTCAGAGCCCTCTCTGTGGGCACACATGCCATCGCCCCAGTCCTAGGCCTACAGCTGGGTTTTATAAAACCTTCTCACTTTAGGCCTCTGCCTAAAAAGGTTCAATCAATCAATCAATTTCAACTTCTTGGGGGGAAAAAAAGATCTTGCAAAGTTGGAATTGATTGATTGAACTTTTTAGTCCCACCCAGTCTGCCGTTACCACCACAGCCAGGCCCACCCAATGGGCCACACCCACCCAATGGGCCCTACTCGGCCAATGGCCACACCCACCCGGCACCCGACGATGCATAAGTGGGTTTTGGGTTGCAGTTTGGGCACTCGGTCTCTAAAAGGTTCACCATCACTGTCCTAGTGCGTACATGTGTTTGCATATAAATATCAATTCCTGCAATGAGCCATGGCCAATATTTGTAATCGATGACTATTACAAGCAAATGAGGTCAGTGTTTTCCTCTGTAATGTAATTGCTTTTATAAAAATGTGGAATAGTTTTTTTCTGTCAGGTATTACATCATATTAATGCTAAATCTACATTGCCAACCTTATTTCCCACCTTAAGTTTGTGAACTGTCAGTACATTTAGCATGGAAAATTATAGGGAACTAGGATAGAAGAAACCCTTTGCTGAAATTGATAATTTTTGCAAAAAAAAACCCATTTAATTATTTCAATAAAACTCATGGGTGAAATCGAGAACTGGGTTTTCATTAAAGTCTAGAAAAAATGTTGTGATGAAGATGGCCAATCAATTTTGGGGGGGCTTGTATGGTGTTTGCTTAATAAACTTTGAATCAAATAATGTTGGTTGATATTGTACTTCGCTAAAACACACTTTATATGTATCAGAGGAGTCATATCAGGAAAGACATAGAATCAAAGGCAGGAGTCATTCACTCCTCATAGACAAATGATTGTTCAATATTTTCTTGAAAACTTCTAGTGATGGAGCACCCATAACTCCAGGAGACAAGCTGTTCCACTGATTAAGGACATTCTTCCTTAGTTCCAAGTTGGATATCCCCTTGACTAACTTTCACCCATTGCTTCTTCTCCTGCCCTCAGGACTATGACCTCAGGACATCCTTATCTGCTTAGTAATATTTTCCTATGTAATATGCAACAGAATAAAAGTTTCCCCAGTTTAGATCTGTAATCTTTAAAAGAAGGACAGGATGCCATAATAAGGCACTCACAACAATTGACACTCACTAGAAGTTCCATCAGTTCATCCTCTCTACATTCGTTCACCTCTTTGCCAAGCCTCTCTTGTGTTGGCTGTGGAAAAACACAGGCATGTTGAAGTTATGAGCATACAGGAAGTATATTTTGGAATCTAAATCAGCAGATGGATAAAACCTGCAACCTTCCAGTATTATCAATATATTTTTTTCTGACAATTTAACATTTTCCTAAAAAAAAAACCCAACCAACCTTGTTCAATGCTTGTTATCTAATCATGCTTAATGCCAGGCCTTAGCTTGTAGCAGACCTTGTAGCACTCAAGATCTAAATAGTTCTCAATCTCTTAACAGTTGACTTAATCAAGAAATAAGGAATAGAGACAATTAGAAAAGAGCCAAATCTTTAAAAGTCATACCAAGAGCTCTTGAAGTTCATCCTGGTCACATCGTACGTGGTAAAGCACCATATCCCGTGCAATGTCCTTTCTATTCTCCAGTTTATTCATCTTATCATAAGTATCAGTATTGAGCACAGACCAGCCCAGAAACTGTGTTAAGGACTTGAAAAACAAAAGAAAAATATTTTATTACAAAACAGGAGCTAATATTCTTTTTGCCCTGACCATTTCTTTTTCTCTGAGCTTTCAATTTTTAATACTCTTGGTTATTATTACTATTATTACTGGATATGTATATCACCACCATCCTTTTCATGTGCAACTGAAGTGCTCAAAATGGCTATCTTCATAGATTGAAGCCAGAGAATAGCAAATTAAAAAAAACACTGGCAGTGATATCAAAAAGATTTTTGGAGAACGGGATTGATGGTACTGTTCTATTCAATCATAATCTGTTAATAATGTTGACTGCGTAAACCCAACAACTCATCCAGGAAAATATGGGACTATTTCTTTGATAAGGAGTCCTAAATAGAATTTGAGGTCAAAATAAAAACAAATTACATATGAGGCAAAAAAAAGTGAAAGATAAGAGGAAACAGGAACAATGGGAGTTTAGATAAGTGAAAGATATCAGGATAATAGAAAAGAAAAGCTTTTCCCAAAGTGGTATCCTGTAAATGTGCTTGAGGACATCTAGACTCTAGAGGACTATAACTTCCAGAAAATTCCTCAGAATATGGCCAATGGCCAGTTCAAGATTAATATAAAGAAAGATGTGAGATATCAGCTTGCACATAAAAGGAACTACAAAGGAGAGATATATTAGGAATAATATGAAACCACCATTTATAATATGAATCTGAATCTTATTCACTGGATGTTCTCAGCCCAAAGTTTCTTTATGTGCTATATGAAGTCAAAGGTCAAGGCAACAACAGAAATGGAACTGTGCTGAATGGGTTGGTTTATTCTGTTTGTCACACTAGAAGTTAAATTAGCCCCTGCAGAATTGTATATGTAATCAACTATTTTATGAGAAACACACAGTATATTTTCATATCCATTAATTATGCCTACCTCCATTAGTGTTTCATCCTGTTCATCAAAGGGCTTCCCATCTTTTCTATTGTAAAATGTAGCAACACCTACAATTTCTTCTTTTTTGTTGACGATTGGCATTGAAAGAACATTTTTGATGGTCCATCCTGAGTCATCAACAGGACCTTTCTTAAAACAACAGCTTGTCAGTACAAAACGTGTCTAGTGCTAACCTGCAGATCTAGCCGCAATAAAGCTGTTTATATGATGCAAATCTGTTACTAAAACAAATGTGTGCAGCATTTTTTATTTAATATGATTTTCATAGAAAGAGAAAAATTGATGTGCTCTAGATGCCTTGCTCTTTAACCTGGGGACTTTGACTATGTTAGTAAGGAGCGCAGTGGCTCACGTGGTTAGGACGCTAGGTTGGAGTTTAGCAAGCCTGTGTTTGTGACCTGAGTGCTGTTGTGTGGTGTGGTGAACTCCCATCATTTGCTCCAGCTCCTTGAGAGGGACATGAAAGAAGGCCCATGGGTGTCCCCCATGCAACATTGATGTCACCGGTTAACCCTTTCAACCTGGAAGCTTCTTAAATGGTGCCTCTGACATGAACTGGGGGGGGGGGGGAATCATGTTAGTTGGCCAAAATATGTAAAAACTTTAGCCTGTAGTTCAAAAGATCTCAAGAACATTTGATTGTCTATTCATATAGACAGTTCCTTTGCCAGATGTTTGGAAGCACCCAGCCTGGCAGAGAGGAAGGATCAAGCACAAAGTTAGCCTTGAGTCACTGCACACTTTCAAAAGGGCTAGGACTGAACCTCCCTAAGTTCCTTTGGAACTTTATCTAATTGTTCCCAGGAATAGGTTGTCAGACTGGGAAGATTCCTGTATTATAGGCAGAACATAATAAAATAGTTAGCTTTAACTCTATTCACACCTAGCACCAGGAGAGCAAATATAAAACTCGTATGAACAGGCTTACAATACCTGAAATGTAAACATTTCATCCGCTTCTACATGCATAATATTGCAAATCTGAAAAATTGTAGAAAAAAATATATATGTCAACATATATTTTGCTATTTTTAAAATTAAATAAAAACTGAAAATGCATATGATGGACATATTATGACTTTGATCCAAGAATTTATACATATTTCATTTTTTAAAAAAATTCAGGCCATCTTCATACAATGAGTGGCTATTGAAACTTCTCTTTGATTCAAAGTTAGTTCCTATTTGGGAAAATAAGCCCAGATTATCCATAAAGAATTTATCAGATAGATCTTTAGTTCTTGGCCAAAGTACTCTTGAGTTATGCAACAATGTCAACATAAATACTTACAAAACCAGTTTCTGCTACATAAGTAGGGAGGCCACTACTCAATGCCCAGTGATCTTCCTTGGGATTTCTAAATGGGGAAAAAAAAACCATGAAAAATTTGGCTTGGATAGAAAAGGAATGCACTTAAGCCTATGTACTTTCCTGTTCTTTCTTTACTTGCTTTTTAAAGTAGTCTAGTATTTCTACAAAAACTATTATTTTGAACAATTAACTGAGGGAAGGAAGAACAATGAATGACTTCCTAATGAAATATAGATATGGCTGCATTTTCACCATTTTTAGAAACAAGCCAATTTGTTTTACAGGTATCAACTGAAAACATGAAAACGTCCCGAAAAATTGTGGCACGGAAGTTGATCATTCAGAGTTTTAAATAGGTGAAATATGTTAAAATGTTCCTTTTAACTCCTCAGAACCATAGAACCATAGAAACAAAACCTGGGAAGGGACCTACATAGATTTGTATGAGACAATGAATTACTTCCTACTGAAACTATTTTAGAGTACCGTATATTCTTTGGATATGTTTCTGATATTATATCACAGAACACATGGCACAGTCTAATCCATTTACATATCTTCAATGTCACTGACACATTTACTTATCCAGATAACTTCCAGTTGATCGAGTTATATAATGCATACTGCTTGAGATATTGTATACTTTATGACTATGCAAAGATGCTGTACTGTATATTACTTCTTCCCTTCCCTTTACTCTACAATTACATTGGAGTGTCCCAGCAGATAGATAAATTTTCAGCTTAATTTTCATCACTGATACTTTTAGAAGGTCTATATATGTTTATCTTAACTTACATGGTGGACTTGTTATTAGCTACAGATTCATTGTAGGACCTGTGCTTTAATTCATACATTTATATATATATTTTTTAAAAGAACCTCATCTGCCACCAAAATAAGAGGGGGTGTATTACTTATTCCCCTAAAAAGGTGTAAAATATGTTAGGCTGAGCGTTAATTATTTTTGTAAATGAGTGAACATCTGAGCTCAGTCACAACACTCCAGCTCTTTCTTCTCAGCTTGATGCTCTCCAGATGGTAAAGACTATAACTCTAGAAATTCCCAAATAATTCTCAATTAATTATGCCAGTTGGAAATACAATTTCAACACATCTGAAGGGCACCATGGAGAGGATTCTACTCACAACAATGCACTGATATATATATATATACTGCTCAAAAAAATAAAGGGAACACATCTTATAGGATTTCTCATAGAATGTGTTCCCTTTATTTTTTTGAGCAGTATATATAAAATGATCTTGTATTCTGTAGAATGATGGTTAGATAATATCATTGATGCAATGAATGTGAATTTGGGCAAACTCCAAGAGACAGTGGAGGACAGGGGACCTGGTGTGCTATAGTCCACAGTGTTCTGTGGAGTAGATTGGAGGAAATAACTGCATACAACTTTGTATCAATGCCGCCACTGCAATTATTTTACTTTACTTACGGGATAACTTTAATCTCTTCCTTTCCATGTAAAATATAATCAATAACCTTGTAAAAGACAATTTCCTACAAAACACAGAAACCAGAGTTGAGATTCATAATAAGAGAGCAAATACAGAAAAAATTCTTATCTGGTTAGTAACTTACTCTGCCATCTGGCGTTCGAGGTCCTGAATAAGGTGGAACTTCACCCATTAGTACTGGCCACAAGTCAAAAAATTCCTAGGAAGTGAAAGAAAAGTTACAAGAGAAATACCTTTTTTAAAAATAATTGTATTAAGATGTAAAGTAAAATACAAAATACAAAGCAAATAGTGGGACACAATGGGGAGGAAAAAGGGAGAAGAAAGAGAGGGAGAGGGAGGAAAAAGAAAAAAAAAGAGATTGACTTCCGACTTCCCCTGTTGCAGTAGAATAGAGCATTAATGTCGAGCCTCAACTTTTTACTTTTTCACAATAGTAAAAACTGGCCATTTCTGTAACAACAAATCAATCTAATCGGTGAAACCCAAAATCAAAGTTTCATTCTTTTCCACCTCAAGCACAAAGTCCGGAAGTGGTCTCCATGTAGAAACGAAGGTACTGGTATTCTTTTCTTTAATCAAAACAGTCAATTTTGCCATAAGAGAAATACATTTTAAAATGTAGAACTATTTCTAACATATCTTTTTTTTTAAGCTGGGAAAAATATCTTTTCCAAACAGATGTTCTTTGTGACACTATTTTTAGCACTGTATGGTAGATTCTGGTGGATTAGGTTTGCAATTACTCATCTGTGTATAATGGAGTCTTTGAATATTTGCATCATTTTTCCCTTCCTGAAATCCAAGTAACTCAAGTAAATTCTGAAATTTAAGTATATGAACTTTGCATATGAAAAATCCCAATTTTCATCCCTATCATCTCTCATGAAAAAAATGAGCTGTTGCCACTGGCATGGAAATAATAAATGAATTTAACCAATAAACTGATACAAAATTGGGAAAATGTTCCAAAAAGTTTGTTTGACTGTGCGAAACTGTGGCAGGCAAATGCTGTATTTCAATGACTGAGCACATAATTTGTATGCAGAAAAGCCAATTTGTAAAACTAAATATGGGGTCCTTGGTACTCTCTGAGCTTGGTTACTCCAGCACTGATGATGTTATCTAGTTTGGTAATGAGACGTCTGCAAGAAAACCACCAAGCTAAGGGAGTACCAAGGACCCGGAGCTATTCCCTTCTATCAAAACTAAATATGTTAGAGAACTATTTAGAAGAATAGCAGATAACACCCCTGTAAATATTGCAGTATTTTATTTGTTTCATTCTGATTTTGCTGCACAAACATTTTGACATAAGGGGACATGAAAACTTGTGGAACTGAAATAGACAAGTTTATACTGAGCCACACTTAGGAACAATTTACCTTTTGCTTACTCATATCCAGAAGACCTACTGAATACCTGTCACAGTTCAAATAAGCTCTCACTGTGTAGAAAGATTTGTGGAATTGTCTTTCGATGTCAGTTAGTTCCTCAAATACTTTGTTGGCTGACCACAGTAAAACCTGCAGAGGAGCAAAGCTGGTAAGATAAATTGCCTAGAGAGTCTACTGAATTCAGAAGCACCATTTCTGATTTCTCTCTCTTTCTGTCTTAATAAAAATTAGGACTACATAGACAAAGTTAAGCCAGGCTTCATACGTAATTTATTATATAAATTATATCAAATGTTAAAATTCATTATCGTTTTCTTTTAAATGCTTCCTCACTCATTGGATATGTGATATTTGAATCTTCCTAAGGACAATAATATTTTTAACACACCCACACACATACAAACACATACGTGTGTGTGTGTGTGTGTGTGTGTGTAAGAGAAAGGAAATGATGATTGTATATAAATACATGTGTTGTATGTGTGTGATGATGATTGCATATGGATACTCAACTATACGCATATGGATACACAATCAAATGGATGCGGGGGGACGTATGAATATGATTGGTACGCCACCAATCAAATTGAAAGACTCCAATGGGCACGCAATAGGATGATAGTAGAGAAAACAGCAGTACAGTGGTACCTTGGTACTCAACTGTTTTGAAATTCATCGAATTTGGTACTCAATGCATTTTGACATGAAAATGTTGTCCCAGTACTCATCATTTATTTGGTACTTGATGCACAAGCTAGAACTTGTCGGTGTCAACTGCTTTGTGACGCACTACATTTTTCCTTATGGGAAAAATCTGTTTGGGACTCATCGTGCTTCCCAGAACCAATTATCAATGTGAATCAAGGTACCACTGTATATAGATGAAAATAGAAAAAGTGGGTGGTAATCAGAGAAATCTGAGAGTTTATGAGTGGAACTGAGAAGTACCTAGGATACTTATAGAAAATCATGTAAGTTTTCGAATCATGACCAAGTATTTAAGATTCTGAGTGGTCAAGCACTAATATGAAGCCATGTCCTTCTCAGCATGTACCATGTAATGCATAGAAAAAAACATGAACAACTTAAGATCTGTTTATCCCTCTTGCTGGAATTTCCTGAACTTGATTAGGCAAACAGTATGAACAATATCCTTTATGCTGCAAAATTGTTTCAGCCACTTCAGTATATATTTTCTATTCAGCATCTGTCTAAAATGGTAAATATTTCGAATAGATACTGAATAGTGTAGATATTTTAAAAATGTTCCAAAGCTCATATTTAAAAACAAACAAACCATCAAAAATGGTCCAGCAGAGTAAACATCATTCAAATATGTGTCTTTGGAATTCTGATCATGGACTGAAATAAATTATGACTGATACTTGTTTTCTATTATGTGAAAGAATATGGGCCTGGTCTTAGGAAGAGACAAAGAATAATCAACTTGTTAAGGGAGTGTCAGAAATGTTTACTCAGTCCAGAGAAAACAGAAGGCATGAGAAAAAGATCAACAGAAATCTGCCTTGATTTTGAATGGTATAATACATAGTAGAGAAGATTCTTTTATTCAGTAAAGGAATATTACAACAATAAAGGAATCCCTGCAGTGCTCCTTTCTTGGCCTATCTTAAAGAACTTATATACTATGATTGCGCCTGGAAGAAGATGGTGAATGGTGTCGAAATTATAAAGAAACCTTTTAGTAAAAAGCTGAAGGCATTTGAAATGATTTTATAGCAGCATTTTGGTATAAAATCCTTTGCAGAGTTGACTATTACAGCAAAATCCTACAAAACCTCAACCTTGATTGCACATTAAAGAATTGCTTTCTCCCTCCCTCCCTCCCTCAAATTATGAAA